CAGGAGGAGGAGGAGGAGGAGGAGGAGGAGGAGGAGGAGGAGAGAAAGAGAACACAGGAGGAGGAGGACGAGCAAGACGAGGAGGACGAGAACGAGGACGACCAGGAAAGAGGAGGAGGAGGAGGAGGAGGGGAGGGGGAGGACTACCAGGAGGAGGAGGAGGAGGAGGAGGAGGAGGAGGAGGAAGAGGAGGAGGAGGACGAGGAGGAGGAGGAGGAGGACGAGGAGGAGGAGGGGGGGGGAGAGCACCAGGAGGAGGAGAACGAGGACCACCAGGAGGAGGAGGAGGAGGAGGAGGAGGAGGAGGAGGAGGAGGAGGAGGAGGAGGAGGAGGAGGAGAGAGCACCAGGAGGAGGAGGACGAGCAAGACGAGGAGGACGAGAACGAGGATGAGCAGGAGGAAGAGGAGGAGGAGGAGGATGAGGAGGAGGAGGAGGAGGAGGAGCAGGAGAAAGAGGAGGAGGAGGAGGAGGCAGGCTGAGGCTGAGGCTGTGACTGCGACTGCCGTGACCGCTGCGACTGTCATCGCGAATGCGACTACGACTGCGAGAACAGCAGAATTCGACAACTGGATTTTCATCTGAATCTTAAGGGGAATGCTTTCAGATATGCTTCTACACATCGCTGTTAGGTTGCTTTGCCGGGATAATTTTGTTGCTTCTTGGGGCCCTGTGGAGACGCCTCTTGGAGGCTTCCTTGGGCGTCTTGAAAGCGTCCACGGCCGTCTGGAAGCCATATTTGGTGTCTTGGACGGATCGGTCGGCGACTCCGAGCCCTGTTGGACCACCATGGGGGCCTCTTCAGGCCCTCCCGGAGCGCTCTCGGAGGCGGAAATGCCGCACACGGGAGGCAAACCATCTCTGACCCGAGTGTCCCGGGAGTCTCACGGAGTATTTACCTAACATCGAAGACTGATAGGTTTCTAGTGGTATAAAAAGAGAGCAGCACATTACTTCACAGGGGGGTCTGGGCAGCCGTTGGGGAGCCGTTGGGGGGCCGTTGGGGTTTGCCGGGGGGGATCGTTTTTCGCATACAGTCACACACTTCGTGCTTTTCGATTTCCCAGAACTCCATTCCCGGGCCACATTCTGAATGCCCGGAGCCAACTGTACGCCACTTCGTGCTCTTCGACTTCCCAGAACTCCATTCCCGGGCCACATTTTGGATGCCCGGAGCCAACTGTAGGCCACTTCGTGCTCTTCGATTTCCCAGAACTCCATTCCCGGGCCACATTTTGGATGCCCGGAGCCAACTGTAGGCCACTTCGTGCTCTTCGATTTCCCAGAACTCCATTCCCGGGCCACATTTTGGATGCCCGGAGCCAACTGTAGGCCACTTCGTGCTCTTCGATTTCCCAGAACTCCATTCCCGGGCCACATTTTGGATGCCCGGAGCCAACTGTAGGCCACTTCGTGGTCTTCGAGTTCCCAGAACTCCATTCCTGGGCATGATTTCGAATGCCCGGAGCCAACTGTAGGCCACTTCGTGTTCTTCGAGTTCCCAGAACTCCATTCCCGGGCCACATTTTGAATGCTGAGGCAGGCTGATGCTGAGGCTGAGGCAGCTGAGGCTGAGGCAGGCTGAGGCTGAGGCCGAGGCTGAAGGCAGACTGAGGCTGAGGCTGAAGCAGGCTGAGGCTGAGGCTGAGGCAGGCTGAGGCTGAGGCTGAGGCAGGCTGATGCTGAGGCAGGCTGAGGCTGAGGCTGAGGCTGATGCAGGCTGAGGCTGAGGCAGGCTGAGGCTGAGGCCAAGGCTGAGGCAGACTGAGGCCTGGCAGGCTGAGGCTGAGGCTGAGGCAAGGCTGAGGCTGAGGAGGCTGAGGCTGAGGCTGAGGCTGAGGCTGAGGCTGAGGCTGAGGCTGCAGGCTGAGGCTGAGGCTGAGGCTGAGGCTGGCTGAGGCAGGCTGATGCTGAGGCAGGCTGAGGCTGAGGCTGAGGCTGAGGCTGAGGCTGAGGCTGAGGCTGAGGCTGAGGCAGGCTGAGGCTGAGGCTGAGGCAGGCTGATGCTGATGCAGGCTGAGGCTGAGGCTGAGGCTGATGCAGGCTGAGGCTGAGGCAGGCTGAGGCTGAGGCCGAGGCTGAAGGCAGACTGAGGCTGAGGCTGAAGCAGGCTGAGGCTGAGGCTGAGGCTGAGGCAGGCTGAGGCTGAGGCTGAGGCAGGCTGATGCTGAGGCAGGCTGAGGCTGAGGCTGAGGCTGATGCAGGCTGAGGCTGAGGCAGGCTGAGGCTGAGGCCGAGGCTGAAGGCAGACTGAGGCTGAGGCTGAAGCAGGCTGAGGCTGAGGCTGAGGCAGGCTGAGGCTGAGGCTGAGGCAGGCTGATGCTGAGGCAGGCTGAGGCTGAGGCTGAGGCTGATGCAGGCTGAGGCTGAGGCAGGCTGAGGCTGAGGCCGAGGCTGAAGGCAGACTGAGGCTGAGGCTGAAGCAGGCTGAGGCTGAGGCTGAGGCAGGCTGAGGCTGAGGCTGAGGCAGGCTGATGCTGAGGCAGGCTGAGGCTGAGGCTGAGGCTGATGCAGGCTGAGGCTGAGGCAGGCTGAGGCTGAGGCCGAGGCTGAAGGCAGACTGAGGCTGAGGCTGAAGCAGGCTGAGGCTGAGGCTGAGGCAGGCTGAGGCTGAGGCTGATGCAGGCTGAGGCTGAGGCAGGCTGAGGCTGAGGCCGAGGCTGCAGGCAGACTGAGGCTGAGGCTGAAGCAGGCTGAGGCTGAGGCTGAGGCAGGCTGAGGCTGAGGCTGCAGGCGATGCTGAGGCAGGCTGAGGCTGAGGCTGGCTGATGCTGAGGCTGAGGCAGGCTGAGGCTGAGGCGAGGAGGACTTGAGGCTGAGGCTGAAGCAGGCTGAGGCTGAGGCAGGCTGAGGCTGAGGCTGAGGCAGGCTGATGCTGAGGCAGGCTGAGGCTGAGGCTGAGGCTGATGCAGGCTGAGGCTGAGGCAGGCTGAGGCTGAGGCCGAGGCTGAAGGCAGACTGATGCTGAGGCTGAAGCAGGCTGAGGCTGAGGCTGAGGCAGGCTGAGGCTGAGGCAGGCTGAGGCTGAGGCTGAGGCAGGCTGAGGCTGAGGCTGTGACTGCGACTGCCGTTGCCACTGCGACTGTCATCGCGAATGCGACTACGACTGCGAGACCAGCAGAATTCTACAACTGGATTCTCATCCGAATCTTAAGGGGAATGCTTCCAGATATGCTCCTACACATCGATGTTAGGTTGCTTTGCCGGGATCATTTCGTCCGGGGACCCCCAGTTGCCGCCCCGCGCGCGCGAAATACAAATGTGTTGTTCACCACCCGAGATCTTAGCACGCCTCTGGCCCGCTGGGCTGGGGAATTCTAGACGCTTCGCGTATCCCCACCAGCCCGTCCAGAAACGACGCCCAGGCGAGTAGAGGGTCGTCCTGAGGGGCTTTTCGGCGTCTTGGGTGCCTCGGGGGGGCCTCTTTGGGCCGTTTGGGATCCTCTTGGGGACCTCCTGGGGGCCTCTTGAGGCCATCTTGGGGCCATCTTGGGGCCTCTTGGTGCCTCCTGGGCGCTTCTTGGGGCCATCTTGGAGGAAATCGATCAAAGAAGAGGGGAGCTTCAATTAGTGCTGCCCCCTCTGGGGGCCAAAATGGGGCCAAAACCTTAGTAAAATCAATGATTTTGGCTTCCTCGGCGAGGCCGTTTTGGACGCTCTGACCGCTCCCCGCCCCCCCTGTCCAGGTCAGTGGGGAGGGGGGAGGGGGAGGGGTAAACCCCTCCCCGAAGGGGAAGAAGGAGGGGTGGAAGAGGAAACGCTCTACACCACCGACGCCCAGAGGGCTGGTGGGATTTCCATTTCGAGTCTGATATCCGTCATTGGAGATGCTCGATGTTGGGACCGACTCTGCTGTTGATTACAAGGAGCCCGCTTGAGAACTGACGTTGATTCGGAGCCTCACGGGGGGCCGGGCCGACATCGGGAAAGGGGCCGCATTGTAAATTTTGTTGACCCTGTCGAGGTTGCGAGGGGTTTGTCTGTTCGAGTCGTCGTCTCCGTCAGTCGTCGTCTGCGTCGTCCCCTTTCCCTGCACCCTCCTCAAGCCTGTCAGCGAGAGAACCTCGCAATGCCGCAATCGAATCCAAGGGAAGCCCCTTCCCTTTGATCCCTCCCCCGTCGGTGGGGGGGTCAGATACCCATTCCCCCCTTGGGGTCCCAGGGCTGCAACAAGTAATTGCCAAAACAAGCCACGAGTGCCCAAAGAGCCCCCGAGACGGTCCAAGAGGGCCACAAGAGGCAAAGATCAGTGATTTCCTCGAGGGATCTGACAGATTTCGGCGTTCTCGCCTTTTCCGCTTCCCGCCGCTCCAAGATGGCCGACGAGGCCCTCAAGATCGCCCCAAGACGGCCAAGAGGCTTCCAAGAGCGCTCCAAAACATCCCAAGAGTACCCGAAGGCAGCCCGAAACGCGTCCAAGACGGCCTGAGAGGCCCCCAAGACGGCTCCAAGAGCGTGCCTTGACGGGGAACCCGAACTGACATTTCGAGCCCCCGGCCCCGAGAAGCTCCCAAAAGCCCTAAGAGATTCCCAAGAGGCCCCAATAAGCCCACAAGAGGCCCCCAGGACACCCGAAAAGACCCCTAAGAGGCCCCCCAGAGGCTCCTAAGAGAGCCCAAAATTCCTCCCCAGAGCCCCCCGATAGCCTTCCCAAGAGACCCCAAGACGCATCCCTGAGGACTCGGGCCCAGGTCAGCGTCGTCGTCGTCGCCGCCGCCACCGCCGCCGTCGTCGTCGACGTCCCTCTTCAGGGTCGGCGGCACTGGCCGCAAGGCCTTCGCAGTATTGGCTTCTGGCAGTGGGCATCGAGCTGCGTGCGCCGCGTTTTCCGTGAGCTATCGTGACGGGTGCATTTTGAAGGTCTCGTCGGTGCTCGTAAAGACCCACGAAAGCCAAAGTCTGCGGTGCTGAAACATGGGCAAGGAGTTCTCGAGGACTGCGCGGGAACCGCGACCGTAGCCATCGGCTCAAGCCCGGCATGCACCACGGCTCAAGCCTGGCATGCACCACTTCCGGAACGGCCGCGTCGTGACGCCTGAGGCCATCCAGTGCGCCAGACCTGGCACTGAGGGGCCCATGGGCTCCACGGACGTCGCCGGAGTGCTTGCAGCAGTGGGTGCCAACGGCGGCGGGTGCGTCCGCCTCTTCGTGGCGGGAGCGCTGACGCACGTTGGCAAGACGACCGTCTGTCTGGGCGTGCTGCAGGCGCTGCGCCGGGCGGGCCTCCGCGCCGAGGAGCTGGCGTACATCAAGCCCGCCACGCAGTGCGAGGCCCCCGATCTGCTGCAGAGGTGGTGCGAGGCAGAGGGCGTCGAGCACGTCGCTGGCGAGAAAGCACCCATGATCTTCTACCAGGGCTTCACCCGCTCGTTCCTAGTCGGGGAGCAGGGCACGAGCGCGCAGTGGCTGGCCAAGATCTCCGCCAGCATCGACGCGCTGGCCGAAGGGCGCCGGGTCGTCATCTCGGGGGGAGCGTCCGCTGACCACCTCGCGGCTCTTGGCCGGGCCGATGCTGGGCCCGGGGTCGGCGTCTACGCCCCCCCTGGCCTTTGCCAGGAGGGTGCACGCACCGATCCTGGAATCCTGGGCCCAGGATTAGGGGAACGAGAAATGGCATAAACATCAAAACTCGGAGGTCCGCGCGGATTTCTTGGATCCGCGCTGGACCCCCCTCCCTGGCGCGCGTAGCGCGCCAGGGGCGGCGCCGGAGGCGCCGCCAGGGAGCCCCCGCGCCGGTCTAAGAAATCCGCGCGGACCTCGGAGTTTTTAGGTTTATGCAATTTTTCGTTCCCCTAAGGATTAGCCTGGCCAGGATCGGTGAGGTGGTCAGTCGACGTCCCCCCGATCATTGTCGACGGCGTCGGCTTCCCGGCCGTCGGCTCCATCGTCGGCGTTGACAACGCCGACGTCGCAAAGGCCGCCAGGGCGCCGGTGCTGCTCGTGTGCAAGTGCGGCGTCGGAGCGGCCATAGACTCCTTCAGCCTGACCAGCTCCTACTTCCTGGCGAAGGGAGTGCCAGTGCTGGGCGCGGTCTTCAACCTCGGCGACACGGAAGGCTTTTATACCTGGGACAAGTGCGCGGAGAACAGTCGAAGAAGAGAGACGGCAGAGCATAAATTGTCAGAGGTTCGCGTGGACCTCTTGGATCGGCGCTGGGCCCGTTCCTGGTGCGCGGAGCGCGCCAGGGGATCCATGGTCGAACCTAGAAATCCGTGTGGGCCTCCGAAAGTTTAGGTGTGTGCCGATTTCTCCTGCTTCCAAGCGTATCCCTCTGGTTTGGCCAGCGGGCCAGCGCAGGCAGCCGCGAGCGCTTCTACGGCGCCGTACCCAGGTCGGACGAGCTGGATGGCCTGCGGGAGCGCATCCCGGTGACGAGCGCGGAGGCGTTGACCGAGCTGGCGGTTGTCAACGCGGCCCACGTCGCGCAGCACGTCGACGTCGCGGCAGTCCTGGCCGATGCGGCGGCGGATCCGTGGTGCCGCGCGGCCGCGCGGGCGCGGAGCACGGCAGCCGCGCAACCCGCGGCGGCCGCCACCGCAGCCGCCGCGGACTCCGCCTTCAAGCCGGCGTCGCGAGAGGCCGTCGTCGCTGCGGCCAGCAAGCAGGGGGCCATGGGCGGCGGCTGAGGGTAGCGGTGGGGCGGCCGCTGGTCTGCTTCAGCGGGATGGCGTCGCCGGGTTTCGTCGAGCGGGGGGCGTGGTTCCGAGCCGAGGCGGGGACTTCTACATACTAGTATCCGCCACATGCGGAATCCGTATACCAGGACCCAAGGAGACGGTGGGCATGTGTATATTAGGGCTTCAGGGACTTAGTATTATATCATTATTATGATCCAGCTGCCTGCGGCAAGTTCCGCCACCGTGCCAGCCCAACATTCTGGGTGGCGATTGTTCGAGGGGGCCCGAGAGGCCGTCACGTGTGTCATTTCGTGTCTCCAGGCGTGGGAGAGCCGTGATAGGGATGATGAGGATAATGAGGTTGATGGGGATGATGATCATGCTGGCGATGATGCTGCCGCTGCTGATGATGATGCTGATGCTGATGCTGATGCTGATGCTGATGATGATGATGATGATGATGATGATGATGATGATGATGATGATGATGATGCTGATGCTGATGCTGATGTTGATACTGATGATAATGATGATAGTACTTATGATGATGGTGGTGGTGGTGGTGATATTTGGATGGTGGTGATGATGCTGACGATAATGATGATGTTGATGATGCTGCTGATGATGACGATGCTGCTAATGATGATACTGATTATGATGCTGGTGATGACGATGGTGGTGGTGGTGGTGGTGATATTCAGATGGTGGTGATACTGATGATGCTGATGATGATGAGGCTGATGTGGATGATTCTGATTATGATGACGACAATGCTGACGATGACGATTGTGATTCTGATTATGGTGGTGATGATGCTGATGATGATGCGGATGCTGATGATGCTGATACTGATGATGATGATGATGATGATGATGATGGATGGTAAAGATGATGATGGTGATGGTGATGTTGATGATGATAATGATGCTGCTGATGCTGATGCTGCTGATAATGATGTTGATGATGTGGATGATGACAGGGGTGGTTGCGATGAGGATTGTGATGATGATGCTGATGATGATTATTATTGTGGTGGTGGCGACGATGATGATGATGATGATGATGATGATGATGATGATGATGATGATGATGATGCTGATGATGATGATGATGATGATGATTTTGATGATGATGCCCAGACGCCCAGAGCACAGTCAGACGCTTTCAAGTCCCTCTCAGATTTCTGGAGGCGTCTCCCAGAAGTCATGGCGCGAGCTTGGGTTCCTCTACACCGCTGCCTGCAAAGGCCTTGGGATAGGGCTAGGACATCGGTCCCCGGGCGGATATGTATCAATCCCCGCCTCGCGATGGTAGCGCTCCCTGGCCAGCCGGGGGCTGGGGCGTTTCAAGTCGCCGCTGTAGCCCAGCATGCTGTGAGCACGTCCGCAGGCATTTGCATGATGGCTTCGGTCGAGCATCGCTCCGTGGCGGCGTGGTGCACAGCCGCAGCTTGAAGTCGCCTGTGGCGGAGGCGGGGCTAAAATCTGCGCGTTTTCTCGCACGACCGAGTTTACAACTGTCGAGCAGCATGTCAGTGTGATGTCGGGGAGCGTCCTCTTGGGGGGTTTGATTTGGGTTGCCGTCAGGGCAGAGACAGTGATGACGGCTTCGACAACGGAGCTCGGTCTTCGTTGTTCACATCCCGAGAACGAGTTTTTTTCTGCACTAGTTGTTTCTGAGGGCGGTTAGTTCTCTGTCCGAGGCTTCCTCGTACTCACGGCAGCCCGACTGTCGTGGCTCCGCCCCGCGATTTCCTCGGCACGGAGCTCTAGAGCTTACGACTTCTGGCAGAGCCCCTCGGTCCGCTTCTTCAAGCGGCCAGTGCATTCCTTTCGCTCGCCATCCCCCCCGCGAGGGTGGTGGTTTTCGGGTCATAGCTCTGGTCTCCAGCGGCCGTTCGGGACGATATCGGCACCCCTGGAACGCTCTTGGCGAAGCGCAGCTGCTGGAGAGGATGCCGAGGTGGGAAAGCGTCGGGGAAGGTACGGAAAAGCCAGAGAGCTTCGAACCTAGATCCTCCTCTCGGCCGCGAGCGAGGGGGGGAAGTGAGGAGGAGGCCTTCTCAGAAGGCGGCTGGGCTTCTCAGAAGACCTCCGGCCTGCTGAGAGGTTTCCTGTATCTTGGGGAAAGGCTTAAACAATTTTCAGGAGGCTGGATTTTTCTTCAGGAGGCTGGAGGACATCCAAGCCTTCTGAAAAGGCCCGCCCCCTCTCGCTTCCCCCCGCGTTGGTCGCCGATCCTCATCCCCCTCCCCCCGTCTCAGTCACTCCTCCTTGCTGCCCGCTCCCGCGCTTTTATCCCTCAAAGTGGCGCGATGCTGGACGCCTCGGCCGGAAGCCATGGCGAGGCCGGCCTCTCCCCTGCCCGATGGTCTCTCTTTTTGCGAGAGCTCTCCAGCACCTGCAGTGCCTCAGATGCTCGTTCTGGGGACCTTCCTGGGGGCCACCTTGGAGATCTTTTGGGCTCTAGTTCGACTCAAGCTCGACGCAAGTTCGACTCAAAATCGACTCAGGTCGGCTGTCGTTCGACGCATCATCGACTCATGAGTGGAGCGAATGGTTCCAGGAAGGTCCCGAGAACGAGCATGTAAAATGCATACGCCCAGGCAGCCGGCGCTTCGAACAACATCGAGGCGGCCAGTTTGCGGTCATGTTCGACCTCGGGAGGCAGGTGTCGGGCTTCGGGTCCGCCAAAACGACTCGGGATAACAAGCTGGCCGGCCCTGGGGAAGGGGCCGAGAGTTCCGGAGGCCCACGCTTCGAAGCAGCTGCATGAGGTGTCTTGGACTAGAAGTTCTGTCAGCCAGCCAGGAGGGAAGTCAGCGAATGGCATCGCTGAGGAAGGCGCTTGTCAGGACAACGAAACAAGGTCAGAGTCTGCCCAGGGCGTTGGCTGAGATGCATCTCCCAGGCCAAGTCGGATGCCAGGCGTCTCTTCTGCTCGGAAGTGCGTAACTCGTCCATGCGATGCATGCTTGTCGGTTGAAGTAACTACGTCGGATGGCAGGACGTAGGCAGTCAGCACCAAGGTAGCGCAATGCCCCGACATGGCCAGCACGAGAGGAGGCAAGGTGGACGACGGGCGGAATGGGTGGTAAAGGATCGTGAGGCGGCCGAGCAGGAATAGTAGGAGAAGGCCTGAGATCCAACGACTCGTAGAAAAAATCAAAAGTCGTCAAACATCACGGCCAGTGCCCCGTACCCCATTCTTCTGCGGCACTCTTGCGCCGGATCGATCCGTGTGTGTCCCAGGCCCGCAGTTCTGCGAGAGCGCCCGATTAAAAAAATCGGGGGAGGCCAAAGGGGAGGTGATTATTATGGGTATGTAGATATCATGGCCAGGGATACGCGCTGGTCGATGAAATGAGACATTTCTGGATTTCCAGATCCCAATCTGCTTTAGCCGCCCTCCTACTTCAAGAGTCGAGTGGTTTTACCTCTTCCCTCCTCTTCAGGGGGCGGCGGAACCCAATCTGCTTCCAACGCCTTCCTGCCTCATGCTTCTGAGCACCTCTTCGGACCGACGTGCATGATATCTGCCCGGATTTCATGGCCCTTTTTCTCAGTACGCCTCTTTTGGCCCCCCCCCCTGGGGCCAGGCGCGCACGTGCCCCCGGCCATGATCTGCGATCCCCTTTCGTGGATGCGCCCCCTTCGTTTGGGCGCCCCCCGAGGAAGTTGCGCCGCGCCGGTTGCGCCAAGGGAGCGGTGCGGGAGGAAGCGACGCGAGGAGGCCGAGAGAGGCCGACCGACGGCGCGCCTCTCGCTACGCCGGCAGAGTGGGTGGGTCCGGGTTGCTTTGGCTTCCCGCTGTGTTTTGCATCTCTCCGCTCCGCCTCCTGTTCTTTAGCGTCGACGATGCTTAGAGGAGAAAAAGGTGCCCATACCTCTATCCTCCGCCCGTTTCCCCCCTTTTGGGCCTCCTGGGCATCCCTCGTCGCCACCGCTGGATTCGCCTCGAAATCCTGGTCAGAACGCACCCCGGGAGAGGTCCGGGGAGTAGCGGTATCGGTACCTTTTGGTTTCCCTAGATGCTCGTTCGATGCTGGGCAGTGGGACGTTGGGGCCGAGGAGCCCCAGATAGGGGGCGGAGCGCGGAGCCCGCTTCTCTTGTCGGTGGAGGGTCGGCCCAGAACGATGTGTAGAGAGCAGGATCGGGCGACTTGATCTGCGTGTTATTTGTCCGTCGCCGCTAGCCAGGCCCTTCTGGGTCCAGGATCGGTGTGTGTATATTATTATTATCATTATTATTATTATTATCATTATTATTATTATCATTATTATCATTATTATTCTTATTATGAGTAGTATTATTATTGCTATTTTTTAATTATTATTATACATATATGTGTTCCTCTTCCCATATTTTTACAAGCCCGGGGGGGGGGAAACCATCCCCCCCAAAAAAATTGGACCCCCGGGATCTGGGGTTCTCGGGCTCCCTTGGACGTCCTTGGAAAAGGTCACCCGGCTTTCCGGGTCTCCACCAAAGCCTTCCCAGCAGACCCAGAGCGATCCGAGAGGTCATCAGAAAGGCTCAAGGGAGGCCCCAGACAGCACAAGAGCGCTCCAAGAGGCACTCCAATTGCGTCAGGACGTCCCGAAAGACCCCCAAGGCACCCCAAAAAGCTTTTCAAGGGGCCTTCAAGACCCCAACATCGGCCCGTTCCCCTCGGTAAAACTTACAATTTTAGCATATTCGCCTTTCGGATTTCATCAGCTTTCAAGACGGTTTCAAAGCCCCCGAGATCGCCCCAAGACGCCCCAAAAGGCCCCCAAGAAAGCGGGCCCCACGATCGCCCACGAGAGCCCCAAGACAGCCCATAGTGGCACCAAGCGGCCCCCCAAGGGCTCCCAGCACAGACCCAAAAGGGCCATGGGAGGTCCCTGGAAGTGCCCAAAATGGATCCAAAGGGGGCTCCAGCGGGCCCAAGCTCCCCAAGACGGCCCAAGAAGGCCCCAGGACGGCCCTTGAAGGCGCCAAAACGGCACACGAGGGCCCCGCAAACA